ATGACAGGACACCCAGATGTGACCCATCAGCCCCCCGGAGAAGCAGGTTGCCATCGCCATCTAGACACTCTCCACACCGGACAGTTACCGGTCTGTGGGCAACCAGTTCAGCATGGGGAGGTTCAAAGGTCCGTGTTTGCTAATGCCATGGTTAAGCAATTCTTGAAAGGAGTTGACAGATTGTTTCCCTATATGCCCCCCCTGGTGCCACCCTGGGATCTCAAATGCACAGCCCTTGTGGCTGGTTTTTTCCCCCTACCCTGGGAGGAAGGCGTCCCTCTTGTGCTCCTCAAGATTGTGGAGGACACAGCATGCTGCCACCACCTCAGGGATATTGTGCTCCCCGATGTCCAGGTGGGTGAGGAGGCAGAACCATGCCTTAAGGAGCCCAAAGGCACACTCCACCTGCATCCTCACTTGGTTGAGGCAAACATTGAAAAGGTCCTTGCTGAGATCAAGGTGGCCAGTGAAGGGCTTCATCAGCTAAGGCATGAGTGGGTATGCCGCATCCCCCACTAAGCACACTGGCATGTTGTGCTCACCCACCACAAAGTCCCGGAAGGGGAAAAAGGTGCCTGCCTCCAACCTGGCACACAGGCTGGACTTCCTAAAAACTTAGGCATCGTGTGCCCTGCCCGACCAACTCACATAAATGTTTGTAAAGTGGTCCTGGTGGTCTTCCAAGGCCTGCAGGAGTACAAAAAAGTAGAACTTTTGGTTGATAAACTGGGCTGCTTGATTGTCTGGGGCCTGAATGGGGATGTGCATGCAGTCGATGGCTCCCCTGTGGTTAGGGAACCCCAGGGCAGCAAATCCAGACATGACTGCATCCAGGATCTCAAGACGGATGACTCTCTGCAGCAGCAGGGAGTTGATGTCCCTGACGACCTGCAGGAGGAGACAAAGAAATACACAAAACAGAGATTGAGAGAGGGATTGCATGAGCCCTTGGGAAGTGCCCATACCCCTCTCCTCCTCTGCCTCCCTAACCTCCCAGGAGCCACCCCCTATGAGCCTGTGCCCCCACCACCGAGCAGCAGGTCTGTATGAGGGAAGGATGGAACAAGCCCTCTGGGCCAAGGCTTTTCCCCCACCCCCATTCCACCCCCTACAGTCCTCAGAGATTGAGAGAGGGATTGCATGAGCCCTTGGGAAGTGCCCATACCCCTCTCCTCCTCTGCCTCCCTAACCTCCCAGGAGCCACCCCCTATGAGCCTGTGCCCCCACCACCGAGCAGCAGGTCTGTATGAGGGAAGGATGGAACAAGCCCTCTGGGCCAAGGCTTTTCCCCCACCCCCATTCCACCCCCTACAGTCCTCAGACCCCCATTCCGAAGGGTCCCCCTTTATCCTATACCTTCTCTCCCCCCCTATCCCAGCAAGGACTGCAGCCCACAAGCTCCTCATCTGCATAAGCAGGGGCCTGACAGGAACTTCCCCACCCCAAACTGGTTGGCCACCAACTGGTAGCTGTCTGGATGTCTGCACATCTCTGGAGGGCAGGTGCAAGCCAGGCACAGAGCTGAGGAAGGTGACCTTGTGCATGTGAAAAGTTTTTTAGCTACTGCTGGTTGTCCCACAGCTCCATGACCAGCCAGTCCCACCCGTCTGAACTGGAACCTTCTGTGTAGGGTGGAGTGTGGCAGCCAGAGAGGAGCAGCTGCAGTCACACAGAGGGTGACGAGGAGGAGTTCCAAGTCCACGTCCAGCATGGACATGTAGGCAGCTGGAAGAAAATGCTGCAGGAACTGCAGCTTGGCCATGTGGGGCTGGCGCCTGCCTTGGGGCAGCTCTGGCTCCATAGCACACAACAGGAAAAAGCTGTAGTGTCCCTAAACATCACAAGGCAACCACAGCAGGCACTGCTGATGCTTTGCTGTCCCTCAACAGAGGTCCATAAGCAGGCAACAGAAACAGAGAAGCGTTTGTTTGGGGTGGGGGTAGGGTGGGGGTCCCTTTAAATGCCTGTCTCTACAGGGCTCCAGCAACAGCACTCAAGAGCAACTGGTGACCTAAAGCCCAGCTAGAACCAGTTCCAGGTGGTTTTATATACCCTTTTGATTCAGACCCAGAAAATCCCAGCTCCCACGGAGGGTGGGACCTGGCCTTCTAATTCCCACATTGGCCTGTCCAACCTGTCTATCAGGCTGGCCTGGAGCGTTAGCATCTTCCCATTGTCCCTGGGGTCTGTCAGTCTCAAGGCCCTGATTTCTCATGGACCGTTCCCCTTTTGGTACTGGGAGCTGGCCAACCAAAAACTCCCCCTGAGTTTTAGTAAGGGGCTAACAGTCCTCTTACATTAGCCTTGCCAACTCCCCTGACTCTACAGGTAGGTAGGCCCAGCTCTCCCCTCGGCTGCCAGGGAGCGGAGGGCCGGGGCCGAAGCCAGCCCTGGCCTCTCGCACCCCCTCGCTGCAGGCAGT